CAAGATGGTATCTCATTGTTGTTTTGATTTGCATCTCTCTAATAGCTAATGATCGTGAGCATTTCTTCATATGTTTGTTGGCCGTCAAGCTTATAAAGAATTTTTAGTGGCATGAGAGAATGCTATTGTGGATATTAACTACATAAGAAACAAGACTGTATGTTGGGTTTGATGCCAAATTTATAAAAACAAAATTTTATTTAGTAACAATGGCAATCTCGGGTGGTGAGAGTGTGTGCATGTTTATTTCCTTTTTCATTCTTTTCCATGTTTTTTAAGTTTTCTATAGTGAGCATGGATTACTTTCATAATCAGATAGAAAATCCAAAACCCACAGCCATTTCATTGATTCCGATTCAACCAACCCTATAACACAGACTAGAACTGCCCATAGGGTTTTCAAAGAAGCTCTGGTGGTACAGTGCCTAAGACATTTGACTACTAACCAGAAGGTTAGCAGTTCAAACTCACCAGCCACTCCATGGAAGGAAGAGTAGGCAATCTACTTCTGTAAAGATTTACTGCCTCAGAAACCCAGGGTGTGTCACTGTAAGTCAGAATGGACTCAATGACAGTGGGTTTGGTTTGGGTTTTGGTATAGGGTTTCCAAGACTGTAAGACTTCTCGGAAACAGACTGCCTCTTCTTTCTCCTAGGGTACAGCTTGTGGGTTCAAACTTCCGAACATTTGGTTAGCAACCAAATGCTGTAACCACTGTGCCACTAGAGCTCCTTTATCAAGTAGAAGCACAGTGTTATTTTTAAACATTCCCATCATGAAAATAAATTGAAATGCTTGTCATTTTCTAGGGATCTTGGTAAGTTACTTGCTAGAAATCTTAAGCCATATACCTTAGTGGACTCAGAGAGAAATGGATTAAAATGGGAAAAATAATTAGTTAGTGATAGATGTGAAGGATGACATTTTTTATAGAACTGTTCTGAGACAGAAGAGGGGGACGACCAGTGGGAAGAACTTACATGATGTATTTGGGAGAGAGTACATAGGGTAGCTATGAATTGGAATGGATTCACAGCCATGGGTTGGGTTTTGCCTTTTTACAGTCAGGTCAGGAATATGCATTGAAGGTCAAACTGACTTGAATTCAAATCCTTGTTAATTCACTTACTATACATGTCACTGGGAGCTCTGGTAGCATAGTGGCTAAGACACTTGCCTGCTAACCAGACAGCTGGCGGTTCAAACCCACCAGCCACTCCTCGGAAGGAAGGTTGGGCAATCCTACTTCCGTAGTGATACTGCCTCGGAAACCCAAGGAGGGGTCGCTATGAGTCAGGTTTGACTCGACGGCACATAACAACAACAACAACATACATGTCACTAGGAGCTCTGGTAGCATAGTGCCTAAGGCACTTGACTACTAACCAGAAGGCTGGTGGTTCAAACCCACCAGCTACTACTTGGAAGGAAGATGGGCAATCTACTCCCATAGTGATACTGCCTTGGGAACCCAAGAAGGGGTCACTATGAGTTGGGTCCAACTTGATGTCACATAACAACAACAATGTCCATGTCCCTGTGAGGGGATTAATTCACCTTTCATATAAATTTGTTTATTTATAAAATACCCAAAAAGAAAAACCAAACTCACTGCCATGGAGTCAGTTCTGACTTATAACAACCCTTCCTTGGGTTTCTGAGGTGGTATCACTACAGGAGTAGATTGCCCGATCTTCCTTCCAAGGAGTGCCTGGTGGGTTTGAACCGCCAGCCTTTTGGTTAGCAGTCAAGTGCCTTTATTTTCACCAAGGAGCTCTTGTGGTGCAGTGCCTAAGACATTTGACTGCTGACTTTCTTAAAGATTTACTGCCTCAGAAACCCAATGGGGTTTGCTATGAGTCTGAATCAACTCAATGGCAGTGTTTTGTTTTGTTTTTTAATTTTCACCACCACATGTCTATCAGTTTTTCATACTATGCTGCATACTATACAGTAACTATGTGGTTGTTGCTTTGATGGTGGAAGCTATGCACCAAAATTTCAAATACCTGCAGCATCGTCGATGGTGTCCAGGTTTTAGCAAAGCTCCCAGACTAAGGCAGACTAGGAAGAAAGGCCTGGCTGTCTACTTCCAGAAATTAACCATTGAAAACCTTATGGATCACAACAGAACATTAGCCAATACAGTGCTGGAGAATGAGTCCAAACATGCCAACGGTCATGAAGATATGCAGGACTGGGCAATGTTTTATTCTATTATACATATGAACACCATGACTTCAAGCCGACTTGACAGCAACTAATGACAACAGTTATTTTGCACCTTACAGTAAGCCCATTTTCTAATAAAACCATTCTAATTCCTTGAAGGGAGCTCACTTCTAATCTTTTTTACTGAATTTTTCTCCCCTGTTTTAATCTTCTAGTTTATCTATCTGAAAGACACCTTGTTCTTAACATTGTACACCAAATTCTGTATAGAGCACTTTAAAATTAGATCTTAAGCACATGCATAGGTTAAAAAAAAAAGGCACAGGAAAAGGAACCATAAAATGGTAGGAATTTTGTTGGAGTTACTTGCAGTGGTCAATTTGAGAAATCTCTTATAAATGGTGGGTTTGTGTACTCTGACGTGAGAGACATCTGGTTAGTAGGAATTTTTTTTTTCTTTTCTGTCTTCCCACCAGAAATTCATGAAAGCTGTCTTTGTTACCATCGAGGTTAGAAATTTTCATAGAAAGCCTCCAGCCATTTAATGGAAGGGAATTGGGGAGTTGGTTACTATCAGGACTTCTGATGATTATAAAAAAGAAAGAAAAAAAAAAAAAAAAACACCCATTTCTGACGACTCTGTGTTTCATCATCTCTGACAAGGAAACGAAAACTGTATTGAGCCCCAACAAACAGCCACATGTATTTCATAAAGCAGCATTGTAGAAACGGCTGCTTATTTGCTTTGTTATATAATTGGGTGATTTATAATGAGCAGGGGATCTCACTCATTAGTGCAGTTTATAAAGGCTTCCCTAAAAGCTCTTTAAGTGTTAATTTTTAGAATCACTAATACACATTTAATTCCTATTATTCCACTCTAACTCTGATTTTGTCCAAAAACTCTTTTCAAAAAGGCATACTTTTACTCATGCGGATTTAGCAGATGGCGTCATTGTAAACTCGGGTATGCAGAACCAGAAATCTCTTGGCAACATTTTGCTGTTTATCCTCTATATACAAAGCATAGAAACCAAACTGCAACACATAAGAGTTACCAGAAAACTCTCTCGTTCTTAGCTGTGGTTTCACTTCATAATTAGTGCAGAGAACCCGTGTTGTCATACCCAAGTGTATAAGTGTTGTTACAACAAAAAAAAGTAGTACATAGCAGCACATGAAAGCCTTTTTGTTATGTCAATATGTGACCTGTTAAATAAACAGTGTATTCTGTGGATTTGCACCCTCTGTAAGAACACTAAGAATTTGAACTTCAAAGGACTACAAAGATTTAATAGAAACAAATCATTAGGAGGGTTGAGACTAAGAATTGTTTTAATAAGAAGTAATGATGATTTCATTTTTAAATGAGATAAATGTCTTACAAAGAATATACAGTATTTCAAAACATGATTGAATGTGTGAGACTTTTCAATTTATGGATTTTCTATAAAAATTTTAGGAAAAAATTTCTACCAAAAGACATAAGTTCATCTATTTCTCCTTTACAACAAGGATAACACCTTACTTGTAATAATTTAAAGTTCTAGCCCTATATATAAGCATTTATTTGTAGATTTCATCCTCTGCAAACCTCTGGGCATGCTTCATGTTGTTGTTGTTGTTACGTACCATCGAGTCACACTCAACTCATAGCCACCCCTCCTTGGGTTTCCAAGGCGGTATCACTACAGAAGTAGATTGCCCCACCTTCCTTCTGAGGAGTAGCTGGTGGGTTTGAATCTCCAGCCTTCTGGTTAATGTTGTTGTTGTTATGTGCCGTCAAGTTGGACTCGACTCATAGCGACCCCTCCTTGGGTTTCCGAGGCAGTATCACTACAGAAGTAGATTGCCCCATCTTCCTTCTGTGGAGTGGCTGGTGGGTTTGAACCTCCAGCCTTCTGGTTAGCAGTCAAGTACCTAGGCACTATGCTACCAGAGCTCCCACTGGTTAATAGCTCACTTAAAAAAATCATCTGACCAATGTTCCAAAATAACAATAATTAAAAAGGAAACTAAAAAAAGGATTTTTCCCTTTTCCCTTCAAAGATAAGTGGTGTTCTTTTAATCACATTAAATAAGGGAGTGCCTAAGGAAAACAAGAAATGGACCATATTGGGCTATAGAGGTGGCCCTGGAAACAATTTTGGGGGGGTGGGGGAACAAAATTTCTAACTGCCTAAAATGAATACAATAGAGTGCTAGTCACAGGTATGATATTTTGTAACAGGTACACAAAATGAGACTAAGATGTCATTAAATAGCATGATTAATAAAGCATCCAATTATCATTTGCTTAAATTTTGCTCTCCTTTTTCTTTTCCTTTGAAAGACCTGGTGCCCAGTGGATTAATCAGTAAACCCCAGCACCTGGAGACTCGAGAACGGCAAAAGTCATCAGACATCCTGGAGGAGCTAATTGTTCAAGGAATAATACAAAGCCACAGTAAAGTTTTCAGAAATGGAGAATCATACAATGTCATGGCAAGTAATTTGGTAATAAACATTAGCTTTACAGTTAAACATAGTAACGGAATATGATTAATCACAAGTTATTATTGCTGGCATATGAATTTTAGAGTGACAACGCAGATTATAGATTATCTAAGCCAGTTTTCTGTCCCATAAATTCCTCTTCCCCAACACACAGTCTCTTTCTACTTATTCAGAACTGTCCTAATCATTAATGTTTAATGACTCTAACAAAACATGTATTTTAGGTTTTACTAAATTTGAGACTCAGTAAGCCCCTTTCATTTAATAGCATGTCTTCATTCTTTCAACAATTTTTATTGTAATTGCCTATGTACTAGACATTGTGCTGGGGTATTGAGGATATACAACTGAAGTCTGGTTTACTGAATAAGAAAGCAGTCCTAAATGCCAAAGCTAAAATACATATGTTTATAAATAAGGGTGGGGCACTGCTGGTTCTTGTCTTATAGATTTCTTGTCTTCCATGCTAGAGACTTGAGTTTCATTCCCAGCCAATGCATGTCACGTGCAGCCACCATCTGTCTGTCTGTGAAGGTTTGTGTGTTTTCTGTGATGCTGAACAGGTTTTACTGGAGCTTCCAGACTACGATCAACTAGGAAGAAAGGCCTGGCAATCTGTCTTTGACAATCAGCCAGTTGAAACCCTATGAATCACAAAGGGCTAATCCATAGCCGAGCATGGAGATGGCATAGGAACAGACAGTATTTCATTCCATTATGTATGGGGTCACCATGAGTCAGGGGCTGACTCAAAGGCAGCTAACAACAACATACATTTATACATACAGCAAAACACTGTAAAGTCAAACATGGAGAAACAAATATATAGTAGAAATTGTTTTACAAGTATTTTTCTTTGTTGAATCACCTTGCTTAATCTGGCATTGTTTTTCCTTGCTTCAGTAATATTATTACTGTTGACTGGTCATGGCCAAAGTCTAGAGTTCTGAATTTTTTAGTAAATTCTGTAAACCTGCTTAGAAGACAGCAGATTTTCCTTCTTTCTTTTTTAATTGTAATTTGGGTGCTAATTTACAAAGCAGATTCATTTTACACTCAACAGTTCATATACATTTTGTTTCATGGCACCAATTACAAACTCACAATGCAACAGCTCTCCTCCTCCCTCCTCCCTGTGGTTATCCCTTCCCTGTGTCCTTCTTACCTATGTGCATTCCTATCTGTCTACATTTTTGTCTGTGCAAAAGCTGCCCCTTCCAATCTCTCATGGTTGGCTGTTCTAAGGAGTGCATCTCCCTGGAGTAGGTGTTCAGCTTGTAGGCCTGTCTGTTGTTTGGCTAAGAACTAATCCACCAGAGTGAGTCCAATTCCAGACTCGAAGGGTAACACGGGGCCATAGTCTCGGGTTTCACCAGTCTCTATCTGGCTTATAATTCTGGTCATTTTTATGTTTTTGAGTTTTGTTCCATATTTTTCCACCCACTCTATTTAGGATCTCCAATTTTGATCCCTTTCCAGGTGGTTGGCATTGACACCATCTAGTTCTTCTTGTCTCAGGGACAACCAGGATGAGATTCTTTTGGTCCATTAGTTCTTTGGACTGATTGATTCCACATGTCTTTGATTTTCTTCACTCTTCTTTGCTTTAGACAAAGAGACCCATAGTTGCATCTTAGATGGCCACTTGAAAGCTTTTAAGACCCCATTCGCTACTCATCAAAGTATGATGTAGAACAATGTTTTTGTGTACTATGTTGAGCTTGATGTCCCCCAAGGCCATGATCCTGAGTCCACAGCCTAGCGACTCACTCCCTCAAGGTGCTTAGTTGTAGCTAAGAAACTATCCCAACCTTGTCCTCTGTTAGCTCTGTAATGTATATTGGTATTTTTGTAGCACATACAAATATATATGTAGGAATATCATCTGCCAGACCTATGTATGGTCATGGGTGTATTCCCATTTTCCCACACACACCTGAACTTCTCATATGTCTCATATGTCTGCCTATGACTAGTAGACTAGTATTTGTAACTACTAATAATGCAGTATTGTGTAGCTAATAGAATTTACCTCTGTTGTCTATACCTCTTGCATACTTCTCTGTGTCCTCCTTTTCCTTGTTGGTATTGTGCTGGTCACACACTTTTGTTACATTGCCTTTCCCTTCACTCAAACCATATCTCTTAACTAGTCAGCAATTTTCCTTTCCCACCCCTCCTGTCTGTGGTAACCAACAAAGTAAATTTCCTTCACTGCATCTTTGACTTTCTATAATGGACTTATGCAATATTTGTCCTTCTGTGAATGACATTTCACTCAGCATAATGTCATCCAAGTTCATCCACACTATGAGGTGATTCACAGATTGATTATTCTTTAATGTTGCATAATATTCTATTGTGTGTATGTACCGCAGCTTGGTTATCCATTCATCTGCTGATGGGCACATAGGTTGTTTGCTTCTCTTTGTTATAGTGAATAGTGCTTCAGTGAACGTGAGTATATTACTCATGTCCCAGATCTCACTTCTTTAGGATATTTTCCTAGTATTGGCATTGAAGACAGAGTATTTTGCTTTTGATTGACTGTGTGTGTGGGAACTTCTTTTCTTTTAAAAGCCTGAGGCACAAACTAATACTCAGAAGCACCATTTCTGTTGTTGTGTGTCTTTGAGTCAATTCCAACTCATAGTGACCCTATAGGACAGAGCAGAGCTGCCACATATGGTTTATAAAGCTGTAATCTTTATGGAAGCAGACTGTCACATCTTTCTCTCTAAGAGCAGCTGGCAGGTTTGAACCACTGACCTTTCAGTTAGTACCTAATACTTAACCACTGCACCATGAGGGCTCCTTATAGGCACACTGTTAGGCTTAAAATATAGTCATAAGAAAGAAGGTGAAGAGAAGAAGTAACAAAGAAAAGAAGCCTGGGACAAAGAGAATGAAAAAGAAAAGAATGAAACAGAAGTGATGGAAACAGAGACTAGAAATTATATCAAAGGCTACTCAATGACAGTCTTGTAGGGGAAATGAGCAATTGGGAATAAAAAAGATTCATTATTTAAATAAAATTTGCCACCTTGACAAAGTCATTAATGTTGAATAAAGGTAATTTCCTTCTCTGGGTATAGAGAATGTTGCAAATTTATGAATAAAAGCCAAAGTAGTCTTTTCTTATGAAGAAGGAAAATAAGTTCTACAGAAAGTATTTGGGGAAAGGAGAGGAGATCCCCAATATTGTGAATGATATCATTAACTGCCAATAATAACAGGATTTGGGGAAGAATGGAAAGCATAAATTGACCTTATGATGGAAAAGATAATGCCAACATACTGAAACCAAAACCAAACTCACTGCTGTGGAGTCAGATTTGACTCATAGCGACCCCTCCTTGGGTTTCTGAGGAGGTATCTCTATGGAAGTAGATTGCCCAGTCTTCCTTCCAAGGAGAATGCCAACATAGTAACTTACATTTACAAAACAACATCATGATACAACCACTACCCATCTGTCAGTTTGTTGTGCTGTAGTGGCTTTCATGTTGCTGTGATGCTGGAAGCTATACCACCACTTTTTCAAATACCAGCAGAGTCATCCCACCCATGGTATACCAGTCACTTCCAGACTAGAAAGAAAGGTCTGATGATCTACTTTGAGAAATCAGCTAATGAAAACCTTATCCTGAGAGCTTCCCCCTTGAAATCAGGAACAAGACAAGAGTGCCACTCCCATCACTTTTATTCAGTGTTTTACTGGAAGTCCTAGCCAGAACAATAAGATAGTAAAAAGAACTAAAAGGTATCCAGATTGAAAAAGAGGAAATAAAATTATCTCCATTCATGAATGATATGATCCCATATAGACAAAATCCCAAAGAGCCTACAAGAAAACTTCTAAAACTATTCAAGGAATTTAGCAAAGTATAAGGTCAACAAAAGTCAATTGGGTTTCTATACACCAGCAATGAGAAATAATTCCATTTACAATAGCATCAAAAAGAATAAAATACTGGGAATAAATCTGAGGGATGTGAAGGACTTATACAATGAAAACTATAAAATATTGATGAAAGATTAAAAAAGACTTAAATAAATGGAAAATGTTCCATGTTTATGTACTGGAAGACTTAATATTGTTAAGATGTCAATACCACCCAAAGCTATCAATACATTCAACATAATCCTGATCAAAATTCTAACAGACTTCTTTACAGAAATGAAAAAAACAATCTTCAACTTTATATAGAATGGCAAGAAACCCTGAATAGCTAAAGCAATGTTAAAAGAGAAGACCAAAGTAGAAGGACTCATACTTCCTGATTTTACAATATATTATACAACTACTTGCTTGCTGAAAGTGTCATGAAACAAAATGTATATGAACTGTTGTATGGAAAATGAATTTTCTCTGTAAACTTTCATCCAAATCACAATTAAAATATACTATACAACTACTTGCTTGCTGAAAGTGAGGATGACTTAGAGCACTTGCTGATGAAGATTAAAGACTACAGTCTGCAGTTTGAATTACACCTCAATATAAAGAAAACAAAAATCCTCACAAATGGACCAATAAGCAGCATCATGATAGATGGAGAAAAGATTGAAGTTGTCAAAGACAACTTTCGTGTTACTCGGTTCTACAATCAATGCCAGTGGAAGCAGCAGTCAAGACATCAGAAGATGTATTGCATTGGGCAAATCTGTTGCAAAAGACCTCTTTCAAGTACTGAAGAGCAAAGATATCTCCTTTTCAATCACCTCGTATGCATGTGAGAGCTGGACAATGTAAAAGAAAGACCAAAGAAGAGTTGATACTTTTAAGCTGTGGTGTTGGTGAAGAATCCTGAAAGTACCATGCACTGCTAAAAGAACTAACAAATAAGTCCTGGAAGAAGTACAGCCAGAATGCTCCTTGGAAGCAAGAATGGCCAGACTTCATCTCACCTACCTTGGGCATGTTATCAGAGAGACCATTCTCTGGAGGGGGATGTCATGCTTGGTAAAGTTGAGGGTCAACGAAA